CACGGATGCTGCAATTCTGATCCGACAAGGTCATCAGTGAAAAAAAAAAAGAATCCATTTATACAGTCGACTTTTATATTATCGTCTCCCTCGTTCGTCCATTAGCAATTTATCGACATCCAATTATTCGCGACGCTTCTTCGCATCTATTTCCGTAGGATATCGATTTCGATGCTTTCGATATGAATTTCTGGGTCAAGTGACACGGTGAACTTAAAGGCTCACGTGCGTTACGAAGCTATCGCGCAAAGGAATAAATTTTCTTCGATACTAAAAGTATTCGGAAATACGATTGTGGCTGGAATCGAATCAGGAATGACGGCATGTATAAACGTCGTTTTAATAACATAATTGCTGCCATAAATTTGAAATATATTTAATCTAGGCACGTGCATAGACCAGTGGACCGTATTAAACTCTCATTTTCAAACTACCGAGCGGCTGCTGTATGCGTTTTTAATTGTCTGCTTTACTTTACCCGTCTCGTCACGTTCAACGTTATATTCGAGTATAACTACTCTAATTTCATTATGACGCGCGATGCGCTGTAGTGTCGTATTACGGTAAATATATGTCTGTAACATGAATACTGTAATAAGTGTGCAAGGAACACGGAAGCTTTTTCTACACCACTTTCTATGGAGTACCCCAAGCATACCGGAATCCTTTGATATGTTTGCCTCCGGTTCGCAGCCGGGGTTTGAAAATATTTTGTAGGGCTGTCCTTCACATGTTACTACGCTTTAACATCTATCATTAAAATTTTATTTTTTAATAAAATGTTAAAAGTTTTAATAGTAAAAACGTAAATCATATCAAGATATAGAATCTCTATTATTCTTACTTATAATAAATTATTTTTATCTAATCGTTAAATTTTTATTTTTATTTTTTAATGAAATGTCAAAAATTCAAATATTAAAAATTATATCAAAACATTAGAACATCCCTCTTACGTGTCTATTTATCTTTACCTAATGCTGAACATGCGAGAAAATAAAACCGCGAAATGAAAAAAACTTTCAAAAAATTCTTTTAACATCCGCTGCCACGAACGTCCTGAAATTTCTCGGGATGGATACCTCGGGGTAAACGATAACTGCCAGAATGAAGTGATAATCTTGGCGCTAGCGTTTCCGCCATAAGAAGCATTTCTAGCCTGGCAAAGATCGGTACGGTTGATACCATCGCGTGGCATAGAAACGTATGCCGTATTCACCGCGCGCCACCGCGAATAAACGAGTGTACACGCCGCGGTACATCAAAGGGTTAGATCGTGGCGCATCGCACCGCATCGCGGCGACCCAATTTCGGTCGCCGCGTGCGCGAACGTAACGTTAAAGTAACGTACGACGATGCATTTTGAGTACACCCGCGCGATGCAGTGGTTATTCGTATCCCCGAAGACCGGTTTCCCCGTGTAATCATCGGATATCGCATATTGCACCGCTTCTAGTAGTAGTGATCCGTCATACGAGCTACCGGACTTTACATTTGTCACAGCTGAAAATTAGAACTGATTTCTTTCTGTCTGAATATCTGTATGCACGATAAATACTACGGTACTTGCTTCTTTGACGTTTGCGACGTACATATTTTCATTTCGTTATTATATATAATCGCATATTACATTATCATGTACCTAATTAAGATTAGTATCATCATTATTATTATTATTATTGTTGTTACGGGTTATTATTATTTGTAACGATAATTATATTATTACAATATTATTACATTATAATATTAATTATTATTATGTGTTACCTCTGATTACTGAATCGTATTTCTTTTAGACACTTAATGAAAACGGCATAAAAACAGATTTATTCCAGATGTATAATAGATGCATAATAGATTCAGTTGCAGTCGCATGCGCGCAAACATCACGATTTTACAGCATGTCTCGTATAGAACTCGTTTCGTATTTTATTTCTTATAGCGCCATTACTCCGAGAAACCTATTTATTGAATTAATTAATTTCTTGTTTGGATATGAGCAAACAAATCCTTGGTTGATGCAATAAAATAATTTAGTTAAAGCAAAATTTTGGTTATTGTAACATTTTATTTGTTTCTGATAAACATTGACATTTGATAAACTTGTTTATTAAAATAACCAAATGTTTTGCTTTAACTACATTATATTTTATTGCATTAACTAAGGATTTGTTTATCCACATCTAAACAAGAAATTAATTGGTTCGATTAAATGGGTTTCTCAGTGCATTTAAAGGATTATCATGATGATTAAAACAACGGGAAGGAAAAGATCAATAGCACCACCTTTTACAAAGATTTTTTAGCAAGATCAACAAAAAGCGATTTGGCGATTCCGGAGATGGAAACAGCTCCTATTAGAATACACAAGTGTGGTTTAGTATATTGGTTTTTAATTACATCGTGAGCTTAGAAGTATGTATTATACAGCACATCTTCCCTCCCCCCCTCCTCTCTCTCTCTCTCTAACTCGTTCTTGACCAGCCATTAGAGCAGCAATTTTGCGCCAATTAAGGACAGTCATTAAAATCTGCACGTACAGTCGTAGACTGCGAGCAGATTGAAAGATGCGAGCCACGCAATGGAGTGTCTGGAATTTCATTTGGACGCTATTCCGCTCGCTATTTTCCAGATGAATTCAACGTTAATGGCATTAATCATTCCGTCGTCGACGCAGCGCATGTTCCGTTACAGTTGATTATCTTATCGTTGTCTAAACGCGATTGGATTCTAATATCGAGTAAGATCAGCAGGTCGATATTCAGCGTGGCGAATTGGAAACGGACGGCAAACCGGTCAATCGAATCTGCGGTTTCGCCAAGCCGATACGTTACCGTCGCTTTCAGCTTTTTGGTAAAACGAATCGACAATTTTCGAGTCAGCCCCGTTCGTCATCCGATTGACCAATCCCGCAATTAGAATGTGGAGAAAACAGGATCGGGATGGTTTAAAAAAAAAATGATATCTAAAAAAGGATTGGACGTTTTCTAAAAAAGGATTCATTATAATAGCTGTTTCGAGCGTAATCTGATTATTCGAATTGGTAAGATTTATCTGCTGTGCGGCGCTCGTTCGAGAAGTTCGCGAACGAATATCTGCAGTGACACGCTAAACTGTTTTTCGCGACTTTTTTCGGAGGATAAAACACGATATCTCGAACGCACATTATTGAACTACTGCATTTAGCATGAAATTAGATGAAATTATATTTTACTCATTATATTTCGACGACGATTGAGACAGAAAGATTCGATTATCGACATTTGGGATCGAGATACTTTTGCGCCTGGAGGCTCGATGGCATCAAGTTATAACAGTTCTCGCACACAATTTCGGGATATTAAATCGAATCGAGTCGACTGATAAAAAGATTCGGGGATTTAATATCGGGCGGCACGCGTGCCAAGAGTGGAAATGGAAATTCGACTGAATCTCGCACGTTTCCGGTGATCGAGATGCACGCGTGCAACGTCCACCAGCCGTGGCTACTGATGGCCACAACGACCAGAACCGTACGGATTGGGTGTAACGTACGTGCTCGCCTCTCTTAGGAATAAAACCGTCCGGAACAATAAATCGATCTCTTCCGCTAACCGAGGCGACTTTCCAAACGAACAGCCACGCGTCACGTCGCGCAACCACATTGCATCTATCGACGTGCAGCGTGGGTAATAAAAAGCGATAGCGCGTTATGCCTTTGCGACTACACAGCCCGCAAGGGCATCCTCTGCATAGTGTGTTGACCCTTTCTTCCCTGTAGTAGCAAATGCCATTGGCTGCAGCTCGGCTATTGCCACAATGGAACGTGACTTTTCGTACAGAAATGACGTAAAAATGACGTAAAAAGGGGAGTACGCCAAACAATCACATCCGTTTAAAAAAAAAGTACACATAAAAATATGATTCTTTCTGTAAAAGAGCGATTACTGAAATGAAGAAAATGAGAAGATAAAGAGGCCCGAGAATAATAAAGCTGAATAAAATTAAAATGTTCTATTGTTTAAATTTCACAACGTATTCGGTTTCGTCGTCAGATTAAATTATTTTACCGTTTCATTTAACCGCGATTCGCAATGTCTAGCGATTTTCTAAAGGAACAATATGTGTTTTACATATAGTAGCATTATATTATTAGAATATGCGATTACTGCTGGATAAAATGACGGTTCTCCGGCGCGGAAATTCTTGTCGAATGAAACTTTCATTTCAGAATCTTTTCTTTTTTTTAAAGGCGTGATATCGACCGCAGGTCTTTCCGCTGCTTCTATAAATTTTCAATGCTAAATGTGCTGAAAAAACACGAGTAGTTTCGTCGTTCGTATTGTCTGAGAAAGAATCGAGGTCGGGATCGCATAGACGAAAGTGACGATCGCTCGATATCCTTCGAGAAATATTGATACGATTATTTTGAAACTAGAAGAATTAGAGAAGAAAATGTAGCGAAATATACAGGGTTGTCAAAAGTTCTTTATCCTAAAATTCTAAACTTTTCCCTGATTTCCAGACAAGATTTCATAATTTTTCCCTGATACTTTCGATATTGTTTCGAAATGTTTTTGTATTTTTATTCTGGATTTGGAGACCAGCAAATATTTTATTGAAAAAGCGACTTAACATAGCAATGTTAACAGCTTCTATTTATTTGTTAAGTTGATAGTATTTCAAAATTATGTAAATGATGTATGCATTAAATTTCATTAAAACCAAGAATTTTAATTTTCCAGAAAATTTTGCAAAATTTTCTGACTTTTCCTTGATTTTCCAGACCGTTTTCAATTTCCTTGATATTTCTCTAATTTTCAGCTTTGTGACAACTCTGATATATTATAAAAAAGCTCTTATAATAAAAATATAACAGTTCACAGAGTATCAAACTTGGCGAATGACGTAAAAGTGTACTAGTTTCCTCAACGTGTGTTAAATTATAAATGTCATACATAATAAGTCAAGTTGTATTTCTCGTCATAAATAATTCAAAGTTATTTTTTCTTTGGTTACAGGCTCGACCAGCCGGTGACCAGCTCTACGCCCGGAATGGACAACAAAAAGGTAAAGGTTTGCCAGATATTTATCAGTAATCGTGCTATAAATTTTAGATATACCGAAACTGTATTGAATTTCTTTTGGAGACAAACAAGTATTATATACCGGTAGAATTTATTTTCATGAAGAGAGAATGATAAAATTACGACAAGTCACGTCGCTGAGAATTGGCGCACCGATCTCTATAAATAATAGTCATTTCCCCGCGATCGATTATTACCTACTGTTCGAAACCGCAATGTTTAATGAGTTGCACTCCGGTCGTGAGCTGTTGTGTGAGCGAGAATAGAGATCTAGCGTGAAAATCATTCGGCGCTACTCTGCCAATTAGAGACATTCGCTTGAATCAGTGTCGTGTGACTCGACGATTACCTCGTTGGAAATAATGGCAAGCGATACGAATCGGGCGTGATTTAATTCGACGCCACCGTGAAAAGAGGAGAGAGCAGGAAGGGAGAGCGAAAGTTTGCCACGAGAGTTCGGCTGCTTTTCCCGTCCGCGGAAACGAAGTTTTCCTTGGGATCGGCGAACCCCGGATGAGTTTCGTCTTTTTTTGCTCGAGCGAACCCGTACTTGCTTCCGTCGTCGAGGAACTGCGCGCGAGCAGCTCTTGTAATTTAACGGATTACCCGGGCGACTCCTCTTCCGTGTCCGGCTTTTTCGTGGCGCGACGAAAGCTCGTATATAGGAGAAATTTCACGGACGAGACGGACGAGACGGACGACCGCGCACTGAAGACGAAACGAGCGCTAATGTTCGTCTGCGGCAACTCCTGCGTAACGTTGAGAATCGCACCGTTCTGTGAGGAGAGATCAATCACGAGAGAGATACTTCCTCTTGCATCGACAATGTATGCATTGTGTTATTTGATGTATCCTCTGGGAGAGCAAATGGCCAACGGTGTAGTTCGTACTATTCGCAATTTAAGGACACTCTGCAATGTATGTGCTATACGTGAGCGCGTTATATACGTATACCGTATCCTGCAAGTTTCTCAAACAGACGTCCGTGGCACTTTGTATTCCTGAAAAATACAGCTCGTGTTATCGGCGTTTCTGAGAGTGCCAGAGAACTACGGGCGTCCGAGAAAACGGAGAATTTTCCAGGACCTCTCCCTCTTATAACCTCTTAGATAAAACGTATCTACAAGTTTCTTGTTGATAGAAGCTCTTCCAAGAAGTAAGATTTGGCAAGTGTCGCGTCTGAAAGTACAATGTTGTCGATATAAGGAGACACGGTTGTCATCAAAACTGAAAATCAGGGAAATGTCAGGGAAATTGAAAACGTTCAGAAAAATCAGAGAAAAGTCAGGGAATTTTCTGGAAGAGAATTAAAATCCTTGGTTTTAAAGAGATTTTAAATAGCGCACATCACACCTAATTTTAAAATACTACAGCTTAACAATTAAATGCAAGTAGCGTCAATAATATTAATAGTAATTTACATTGATTAAATTACTCTCGCAATAAAAATATTTAACGGTTTCCAAAAATTAGGATTAAAATACAAAAAATTCAAAATATTGAAAATTAGAGGAAATCATGAAATTTTGTCTAATTAACGAAATTAACGAAAAATATGGAAATAAGGATCTTGTTGGACCATAAATGTGAAAACACAATCAAGAGGAAATAGAAACTAAAGACTAGTTGAAACGGGATCTTTAACAGCTTAAACAATTCCATGTGAATTATATAATTACTATATAATGTACATAGAATAGATATGTACTATTTGTAGTCATTCGAATTGCGCGCCGAATTAATATAATAATTTTTCGGACTTAGGTCCAGTTGCACCAACGTTACTTTGATTTTAAGCGAAACTTAAAACTCTCTCTACCTCGTTTTAAAATCGAAAGAGACGGGAACAAAGAGAGTTTTAAGTCTCGCTTAAAATTAAAATAACGTTGGTGCAACCGGAAGTTGGAGACGCAACTAAACTACTGTAGTAATATCACAATTAAATATTGATGTTCAATAGACATCTATTAAAGAGATGTTAATATGCTGGAAAACTGTAAAAATAAACAATAAATAAAAGGATGAAATTTTACGAGGAATTTGTGGCAACCCTGGGAAAGCAGCATACGCATTGCGCATAAAACGCCGAGATTTTCCGGCATACAGCACCTTGCGATAGATGCTTATAAACTTGCAAATTTGTGATTCCATCTATAAATTTTAATAACGCATGAAAGAACACAATGGAAAAATATTACGAAATGGCATATTGATTCGCCGGCGAGTTGTAAACTACTTTCCGAACGACGTTAATGTTAACGTTCTATCGTTCAATATCGTCGCAATATCTTGCCGTTGTGCGAACGAAATTTGCGATCGTAGCAAATATGTAAACTATTTTTCGTGCATTCGGGATGTCTCGTAAAATTCTAGGGAAAAATAGAGAACTAGGTAGAGTCAGACGAGATAGAGCGAGCGGTAAATTATTCATTTCCACGTCAGGAATGGAGTTTCGAGTGTTCCCACGGCTCTCTCCGATCTTTTGTACCGAGACCGATATCTTGGCGCTCTTTTGCGCATGTATTTTTAAATCTGATAGGAAGGTAGAGGGAAATCGATAGCAAGGCTGCATAATACACCCGGTCTATTTCGAGAATTAAATCCAACTGGACTTTGCGGAGGCACGTGCTTTTTTTCGTCATTGAAGATGTACCCTATTGAAAATGTTATCCAACACACATCTATTGAGTAATTAGTTATTTAGCGGTCGTTTCATTCGTCGGATATCGATCTGTGTTTTTCTTTTCTTCCCAACAAGCGTCACAAGAAGAGAAAAATCGACGGATCGGACGAATTTCACGTTCGAATGGCGATCGTGCTATCTGCACCGGCGGTCTTTTCTTCCTTTTTTCGTTTCTATGGCTTTTCATTATCGGATAGACGTTCCGAGTGGCGTGGCGAAATTTTTGTCGGCCAACGGCAATTTTGTGCGATAACGTGGCGCGTCGGCAAGCGGAAAAACGGATTTCGATCAGCCGCATTCGGGGAAGGCACCGAATAAAAGGTGTCGAGATCTTGGCCGCGTGCTGATCGTGGCGCGAGAAAGATTCCAAATTTCACCGAAGATTTATTACTTCCAGCTTTCTATCTTTATCTCGCGAAATCGCATTTACGTTGTAAATTCTTCGAACTTGGACAATGTTTGAAGCTACCCAATACTTCAACATTTCAACACCATGACATGATACGCAAACGTCTTGTAAATAATAATAAATAAACTTATATTTTACATAATAAAATATTCAATCGCATTTTATATGTCATGTCATGTGAATAGACAGTGTTTTTTTTTTTAAATTAAGATTACGATTCATTTGATGCTACAAAGCAGCTATAAAGCTTTGAAGCATTCTTGATTGGTCAATCAAATACTTCGAAGCATTTGTAGCACCAAGTGGATCGCCTTCAAAATCCGTCCATTTTAAATCGTATAAATGTATATTTTAATGATGAGCATAGCGATCAAATCCTGCAATTAATTTCGCGCTAATGAAAATTCGATTAGATTCCACATTCAAGTTATGTGCATTAAACATTAAATTTGACAATTGAATTTTAAGTGAAAGTTCCATAAAAGTCAGTCCTTTGAAACTAATTAAGGAATAATGAGCGATTAATCTTAACCATTACTTAATTACTATTTCTAATTTTTCATCCTCTTTCACATCTCAGAGTATAAGACAGTTTTAATTTAACAGTTTTAGTTAAACTAAATTTAAGCGACGTTGATGCAACGTCGCTCGTAAGATTTGTAAGTGAGTGTCTTGATAAGAAAAGGCGCATTTTATTTTACAGATTGTCCAGTCGAGCACACCGCCCGCCGTACCGGTTCAGGTACGTAGCAAGCACGATGGCTCGGGGGTGGCAGCTTCCGTGTCGGGGGTGCGTAGGCGAAGCGGTCCTCAAGGCGGTCTGCGTTCGCCCGCTGCGAAAAGGCCTCTCTCCGCCCCCGTTGCATTGCAGGGATGGTTGCACAAACAAGGTTCGGAGGGTCTTATGCTATGGAAAAAGCGTTGGTTCGTTCTCTCCGAGTACTGCCTCTTTTATTACAAGGGTGAGTCTGCACGTTGAACGATCGATATTTTTTTTCGCGTATTTTATTACTTTTTTCCCTACTATTTTCGCACGGCACGTAACGTTATCGCAATACGGTATCGGTTTTTAATGAGCTTTATTAGTCAGAATAATGTAGCTCGTTCAGTTTAGCATTCGAATCCGATAGATGTAACGTTTATTCATTGCGTAATTATCAATTGACATTATGGACTGGAATAATTATTAATAATTGTTCCAGAAGCCTCTATTAATCACCAATCTAATGGAAATTATAAAGTTAGTTATTAGTATAAATAAGCTCTCTCGTTGACCGTTCTGCACAAATCGAATAAATGAATCTTAATGGCCATTTCGTATGAAATTAAAGTTCTTTAATAACGTTCGATTTCTCATAATTAATCCAATTGACAAAATCTCAATTTTTACAATTGCAAAACAAAATAATAACAGTTTCCTTTTTTGAATATAAATAATGATGTTTCATTATTCACAAATGTAATTTTTGATCGTCTCGAACAATTAAAAAAATCATTCTCGAAATAGAAAATAAAATTTCGTAATTAATATTTTCAAAATTTTCGTTCGAATCGATTTCGTGTCTGTCTTATTTACGAGCTTTTATTTTGGTACATTTAGTTTCGCGAAAATATTGTGGCATCTCGCCAAATTTTATCCCGTTTTACGTCTCGCTAGTCTAGATCGCACAGATCAATTTCCTGTTGTTCTGGACAACGCTATTCGTCTATAATTCGACTCAATCAGAGACGCTAATTATACTCGGAATCTTTGATTCGGTATGTGTATCACGATCGCAGCAGCAGAGATATATCTCACTAAACATACACTCGCATACCCGCACGCGCCACTTCAGAGTGTCTTTCACATCATCCGATGGAGAAGGAAATTCCTGCTAAAAGTTCGCGGCGATTCGAACGTGTCGTTTGCGAACTTTAGTTAAATTAGATTCGATGCATACCGTTCTCTAATTAGCAGCCTGCGAGAAACTTCTTCGAGTATCCTTATCGAATCCGTAAAAGGCATTAATAAGTACTCAATAACAACTCAATAAATAACTCTTCTTCTTTATTATTTCTCTCGCAAGTAAGTTTATTTGCAATATCGAAAATAATCGATCTCCTGTGTTTTCACGTTGAAAAGAGTTTATTATTATGCAGTTATTAATTTTTCGCTAAGTTTTCTTAAATTCGTTTTACATTTTCTCCACGTTCTTAAATGTTAAAAATATGTTTAAAATATTTTATAAAATTCATGAAGTTTAAATGCAAAATGTAAGTTTTTTTCGAAGTGCCATTCTATTATTTTATTATTTTTGTATTTTTAATGAACATTTTGGCGCGGAAGATAAATGGTGCACATAGAAAGCAAATAGCATTTTGATTGTTTTGTTTCAGACAGTTGTATACGCAATCACGGATACCAACAAGAAACATTCTTTTCACGTCGCCTCACTTATAGCTTTATATCTTAGATGTTATTATTAGCTTCGAACAACGAATTTTGAAATGTTCGGAACTAACACAATAAGCACAAATAACAGTCATGAAAACATTTTCTATTTTTACATTCGCAAAAGATAACTTATTGTTCTAGATGAGAAAACTTTCTTAAATAAGCTTAAAGGAGCTTCATAAATTTTATAAATATAATAATATATATATATTTTTTAAATATCAAAACATTCTCAATTATTACATGTAATCATCTTTAATAAAAATTTGATCTATTTAAAATTTCACCAAAAAATAAAATATAAAACATTTTGATTTCATACACATTTAATTGCTTTAATTATAATAGAATTTCTATATAAACAAACCAATATATTTTTAACTATTATCAAAATGCGAAAGAAGAATCTGTGCATGTGAATTAGTTGATTGAAGTGAGATTTCAACTTGTAATTGATAAAAACATTCATTTATCGTTAGAGGATCACTCAGTCTGAAATTAATTTAGACTGAAATTCCAGCTTTTCCAAAACGCAGTGTTCGAGAATTCGATTCGCCGAGATTTCATGGTTACACGTATATGTATACGAGTACACATTTAAAAACTCACATTTTGTTCGATAAAAATTCATAGAATTTCATGTCCCTTGAGATTAATATCGTCATACACAATCGCAAACTACAACAAATATGCAAATGTTGATTTTCGCAAATATTTAAAACCATCATATGGAAGTACATGCCTTTATGCACATCGTACATTAATCATAGGAATAGATTGTAGAGAGAAATTTTAAATTAAAGATAGATATATATATATATATATATATATATATGTATATATATATATATGTATAGAGAGAGAGAGAGAAAGGATAAATAGAAGATATTGCAGTTATATCATCAAATGGTATATTTGAACTAGTCAGAATTGAAAACAAGATGTTATAAATATTTTTGCGTTTGACCGACTATCTGAACGTGACATACATCCGAAGTTTTCGTTACGAAATATACGAAAATATATCATAGTTATTTTATCATAGTTATTTGTATTTATACTTAACTGCACTTTCTGCAATAGAAAATTAACGCACATTAAAATATCATGTGCGTGGAATTTCAATGTGAAATTAGATATTGCTTGATTGTTTTAGAAACAAGACCAGTCTCGTCATCGTAGCTTTTATTGCAATGTAGCAATTTACTAATTTTCAGGCCCAGAGGAGGAGAAACTGCTAGGTTCGATATTACTACCTTCGTACAGAGTTACTATCTGTAAACCTGAAGACAAAGTCAACAAGAAGTTCGCCTTCAAGGCCGAACACGCGAACATGAGGACTTACCACTTCGCGGCTGACAGTCGAGAGAGCATGAACCAGTGGGTGAATGCTCTGACTCTGGCAACGCTTTTACAAGATCCTAGCCCGTAAGTTTCCTGCATGTATTTTTAAGCTGTTTAATAGACTCACGGGAAACATACAGTAATTATGCGATATTGTGTAGAAAGCCGAGAACAAGTACAATTTATATTAAACTTTAACGACTTCCTTATTAATCACGAGAAATTAAATAAATTAAATAATTTAATCCTAATTAAGGAATGCTAATTTGAGTGGCTTAAGTCAGGTGTGCTTTCAACGCGTTAATGATAATTATTATTATTAGTTTAAAACGTGGAATAGATGCATTTTTCTCTCTTGCTATTCTGCAGCTTGAATAAATAAACGGATATAAAAAACGAAATGCAGTGATGCAATCGATAAAAAAAACCGAGTGATTCTTTTAATCTATTATTGTAATGATCGCTGCTATTACATTAATCTATCATATTGCACGTGTTTTTAATTTTTCATATGACGTATTTCTTTGTGGAAATAATCCTTCCAGTTTACTCTCATCCGCTTGTTACTTTCTTTCGTATTCCGTTCGGCATTCGTACAGGTCTGTTTTACGCATCACGCGCATTTGCATTTTGTTCGCATAGAAATTTTACCTCACATTTATATCTGATCCCACTTTTTACATACATACATCCACATTTTTCAAAATTCATGAAATCTGAAGCTTTTGAATATTATAAAAATTTCGTCGTGGCTATCGCAGACCTCTCTCTTCCTTCCTTCTTTTCCGACTGAAAATCTTCCGCGAAAATAAAAGCTCTCACGACGTACAAAAACTTCTTACGAAATTGTCAGAACTACGCTCAACACCGTCTTGAAAGATGTCATCTTTTAAGACGACAACTCGACAGTAAACTCCGTCCAGAGATACAAACAAAGATCCCGAAATTAGCTCGACAGTGCAACGGAGTGACGATGAACATCTCTTTGATGCACCACGAAGGAAACTAGGACGGTATGGCTACTCGCGTTTATTTGCACGCGAAAGTATCGTGATGCGGATGTTGCAGTGCATCTGTCGTTCGCGCGTTATCACGGTGTAACTAACTCGTTAGTTAGTTTCTCGAGTTATTCGACCCGCGAGATACTGCCGGTGGATGAGCCTGGGCTGGCCCGTTGTCCATTAGCACGTCGTCAGCAGGGCGACATAGCAGACGCAGCAGCGGACAACGAAACGCTTGTTTCTCATGAGCTTTGCTCATCTTTTAGTTGAAACTTTATTTGCATGACCGAAAAGTAATCGAAATGTTAAAATTTTAGCTTCAGTATTCGGAATAATATTAATTTCTGTGTATTTAATAATATGAGGAATTTTCAAAATTAGAGAAACTCCTAGAGGAACGTATTAAAATTAATTCGTTTCATTTATATCTATATATATGCGTCATATATCTGGCAACCTCAATATAATCCTATCAATATTTCCAATAATCCTATTAATATCAAACTGATACTAATTTTCAAGTCGAATCGACAGGATATTTATTATACATAATCTTGTAAATTAACTTCCTTCAATTATCAATAAATTATCTTCAATTATATAAAAAACTATCGGTTTTTTGTAAGCTTGACGGGTGAAAGACCCGATATCGAATAGTGCGGGCTAAAAATAATATCTGACTTTTCAATTTTACATTTATTAGTGGCGCAGGCGAGGCCGCGGTAGTCATAGAAATAGCGCAAGATGGTGAACGAAGCGCTCGACCTAGCGTCTCGTCGATCTCGTCGATCCTGAACCAGAGTGCCGACGACAGCGATTCTGGTTTTCACGGTTTCCAGTCGCGGGACGATCCCAGTCATGCCTCCAATAACAACTCCAGCCCGAACAGCGCAAACACTGCCTCTTTCCCGAACCTCAGCGGTAGCAACAGCAACGGTAATTCCGCCAACAACAATCACGCGAGCGATTCGGGTCATCCGATGATGAATGGTTGGGTGCAACAGTCGCCGCAATACGGCCAGCCCGGCACTTCTCAGCCGCAGCAGCCGCAACAGCAGCAGCAGCAGCAGCAGCAGCAACAACAGCACCAACAATACGGACATTTGCTGCCATCGCAGCAATTGCAGCCGGGCCACTCGCATCAACATCAAGCGTTGCTTCATCATCACTTGCCGCATCAGAACGCACTTCCGACTCATCAGTCGTCGCAATTACATAAGCATGTGGTCCAACAATCGCCGCAGCAGCAGCAACAGCAACAGCAGCCCCAGCAGATATCACATCCTGGTACGGGCAGCGTTCAAACGATACAACCTATGCCTCGAACGAAATTCGGACAGCCGATTTACGCGAACGCACCACCGAAGCCTAGAAGACTGACGGATGGCTCCAACGAGTACTCGACGCCATCGCCGGATATGGACTACCGGAAGAGTCCGGCCTCACCGGATGTCACGGTTACGAGCAAGAGCCCGATGTCCGATTACGAAAGGAACAACACGATCTATGGCACGCGGATGAATCAGCCGTCACAACAGAGTCTGCGAATCGACAAATCGGGCCTGCATTATGGCTACGGTCAGACCACCCAGTCGACGGAGAGAAGAACTCCTGACACTTACGGACGCAGTGCGAAACCGAGGACCAACAGCAGGGGTAACGGCGATTACGAGGAGGTCTATGGCACTCCACAGCTTTATCAAAGACCTGCAGGACCGGTGGGTTACACCAAGGGCGCATCACCGGCGCCCATTCCCATCCCCGTGTACGCGCAACAACAGCATCTGCAGCAACTGCATTCCCCCGTCATCACGCCGCCGAACAGTGAGTCTTTGTGCATTCTTTTGCTTTCTGTTCTTAATTATTCCTACAAAGGCGCTTGTAATTAGTACGGCCGGCATTTCATTCCGGCCGATACCCTTTCCGGAGAATAAAGATAAAAATATTCTACGCGAATGTATTTGTATTGACAATGTCCTTCTAAATCACAAAGCGGGCTTTCTTATCGGATTGTTAAGGACGCGCGTTTAAAAAATTCTGCAGTGGAGGCGATTTGCATTATTGCATGAAGAAGACACAAATTTCTGAAAAAATAGAAATAATTTCTTTGCTAACTTTGTCGTATCGCCAATGGCGATTTTCATCGTGTTTTGTATAATAATATTACTTTAAAGCATAAAAAGAATTGATTGTTCTCAAATATGATTATTCTTTTTGATTATTATTATTATGATTATTATGATTATTATTAGAAAAAAAAGTGTCCTCTCTTCTAAATTCTGTTGGAAAGTGTGAGTGTGCATAGTATTTTTTTTAAATGTAAACAAATATTAATTCAGCAAAATCATAAAACTTTATTATTTTATTACTAGTTAATTTTAGAAATGGATACTATTTTTATCTTATATTATCGCATCATTATAATAATTGTAACGATGACCTAGATCTTCTTTTACGTAATACAAATTATCATTGTTTTTACAGTGAAATTCAATTTCTTTTTATTTCATGATATATGTGTTGCATAATGTTACAAAGACTGTCGAATAATGTTGTAATTTAATGAATAAAACGTGGTAATACAAAAAGGGTATTGTAATTTATTTTGTTTAGTGGCAATAGTAAGGCAATCTAGAATTCAACCACCACCGCGACCGCATAGCGCAGACTTTCTCGAGTATGAAGCAGCAAGACGTCCTCAACAACAACCGACGCAATGCGAGAGACCCCTGGATCAACAAAGACGTCCGCAGAGACCTAAATCCAGTTTAGATATAGTGAACCCGTCAGATACGACCAATGACGGTTACTTCTATTCTGAAGAAAGGTACGAACGCGTAAATTCCTAAGGATTTAAGTTACGCAAATATCGAGAAAAAGAGAATGAAAATCGATCTCTATGAAAGATATTCACTCTCTGTTCACGTTTATGCTTAGATACGCAGCGCAGATGCGGCAGTCCGCAGTGTATTTGCATCAAACCCCTCAACACTACCAGCAGCAGAGGAATCAGTCTCTCTCGCGTGTCACAATGCAGCCGAAGCTGCCGGGTATCCGCGATAAAACCGATGAAAATAGAATATCCACATTGTCGGATTCTACTTGCCCTACTCTGAGACGCGTACAACGGGATCACGTACATCAGCAGCACACGATACCCGTTCAGTCGCTGACGCAGAGACATTCCGAGTGAGTCACAGTACATCGTCCGAATAAATGATTAAACCTTATGGAGGCTTCCCCCTAAAATTCCAATTAAATACTTAAAAAAAATCCTACGTATTTTTAAGCACGCATACATGCGTGAGTTTGCGTGTATTTTTTAGGTGAATGTTTGAATATATAAATTCAAAATAGATATCTAAATGTTCGACCAATCAAGTTTTAAAATGTATACTAATGAATTTTTGAAGAGTCTACCAGCTCAATTTTCTCCTATTTACTCGATATTTTAAAGTAATTTTTAAAAAGCTGAATTGCTAGAGTATTAGAGTATTAAAATAAAAAAATATTAAATGTTTTAACCTTTAAGAGGCGAGAGTCTATTTTTAAAATCTTACAACTTTTTTTAGTACGATTTGTTATAATTTATTATTTTATTGTTATTCTTTGTCTCTGACAGTGTCAAAATATGACACTGTTTCAGTGCCACTACAGTAACTGTTAAAATATACTTTTTAAATTTTATAGAATGGGACAGTGCAGTTATACGAAAATACAATTAAAATAAAATAATACAGTAATACGTCTTTCTATCGAATTATGATATGAACATAATTACGCGGTATAATATATTACAATAAACTGAATCCAAGAAAAGGAACGCATACTCAAATTACTTTTTCTCAGGATAATGGGTGTCGATCCGAAACTTCGAAGATCTTTGCGCGAGAAGAGCTGCGAGGCGAATGGCCGAGAAACGCTGACACACGGTGAAGACAACACGATTCCTCGTAGAATACGAGGCGAATACGACGGGTGGGGAAGAGCAGCGGGTCACGCTGCCCACGGGACCCACATCGCTCAGACGTGTCACGCCGGTCACGCAGGTGCCAGCAGACGATGGAGCGAACAGCAGCAGTTCTGCAGATCGGCATCGGCACGTCTGCCAAGGACACGGCATCCTGCCGCTCTTGATCCCGACGACGACGACGACTACACCGAGAGGTCCTCCGAGCAGGACTCGCGAGATGGTGAACGCAAGATTCAGCAGGTAAGGAGATCTAGTATTTTTTTACTTTCGTAAAAACACGCAAATTGTTTTTCAAAACATTTCATCGTGTTATTAATGTATCGATATATTTTAGATAAATATCAACCCTTATAATATAATACAAGGTATAATATAAGGTTATAATACAAGGGATGTACCTAAGCTATAAAATTTTTTCGAAAAATCATACTCTTATTTTACTTTTTAAAGTTCATAAGTAAAGTTTACAAAGAGATCGATTAAATACAGATTTTGTTAATTGAAATATTTTATGAATATAAAACTCATTTTTCGATTGAGTTCATTAAACGAATGTACGAAATGTTATTTGTAAAGCGTATCAATACTGATGCTGGAGTTATGCGATGTAAAAATGTATTATCAAATATTTCTAAGTGAATTTTTTCGAACTTGCTTTTCGTTCATATTAATCCTAATTTCCTTCTTATACTTTTTTATCCCCCTATGTAACTTACATCACCGAAATTCCAAATTTTTTCATGAAACAAAAAAATTCTCTGAAATTGAAAATGATAATAAATCCTTTTTCTATTTTTGATCCTTCCTCATCCCCCTCTTTATCTCTAAATTGACTAAGAATACTAATTTTACTACTCGTTCTTCCCTACCAATTTTGATTTCCCCCTTCACGCATCACCTTTATCTGAAACTTATTTACTAATTTTATTTTTAATGAATTAAAAATTTTAATCAATTATTTTCCCGGCTTTCGTTCCCGGAAAAGCTGGAATGAGTCATAGAGCGGTGCGCTTCTTAGAATCAGAAAGTGTCGACAGGTAGACCATCAGCATTGTTCATATCAAGCTCGTACAAGACAACCGTGTCGGTAACATCGGTGGACAAGCGTGATTCACGACAGCCCTCCGTTGCATAGCTGCACATTACCTTACGTCATCCTGACTCTCCCGTATTTTTGCTTTCACCATCGTTCACTCAATCGTCGTCATTTCTATTACGTTACTCATGTCATATTAATCATTTTTAATAGCTTTTTTTAATTTCTCATCTATCCTATTATCGAAAATTTTAATTCATTGTTAATATCGCCGTCAGCAGTCAACCTCGAGAGATCGATAAATATCATAAAAAATTTATAAATATATGGAAAGAACGATTTTGCTAAAGTATTAAAAAATTTAGCTAGATAGAGATCTGAAAATAACATTTATTTGGATTGTAAAAATAATGAGTAAAACATTTAAACATTGATAACGATGCTACAAACAGTAATAATTTAATAATTATTTTGATTGTCCAAACGGTATTATTTTCAGATCTGTATCTAAATTTTTACTTCAGCAAAATCGTTCTCTCCGCGTTCCTTCAGAAAAAATAGCACATATCTTTCTGTCAGTTAGCTAATGGGAAGGTTCGTTACAATACGTATTTCAGCGCGAAGAATCGATGAAGCGGCTGCTAGAATGGAAGCAGCGTATGCTGCAATCTCCGTTGACACGAAAGCCATCCGGCTCGGCCAATAGAGGCAGGGCGCAAAATGATCTTTCGAGTTACTACAAGCAACAGGCGCTGCTGGATTTGGCAGCGCACGAGGCCGCCGTAGCGGAGGGTCGTCACTCCCGAAGGCGGGAGGATGGGCATCGTTCGCATGTCAGGAGCAAGAGCTCGGACGGTCGCCGGACCGCTGTCAACGTGCCACGCTACAACAGCTATTCCAGCGATGACGAAGGTAGGGATAGCTCGCCTGAACTTATCATTTAAATGGTAGCTTCGGTCGCCCTGCGTAACGAGGGACCTGGTCAAAATATTCAAGTTCGCGCGAACAATTATTGTATCTCTTTTTTTGGGGGACGAATTTTGGGGATGTTGGGCATGTGCTTGAAACAAAGCATGTTCAAATTATTGGAAAGATTATGAGTGTCTTCTGTGGACAGATTTCATCCACTGTCTTTGAAAAGAAAAAAAAATACTTTGTCAACTTTTTGTCAAATATTTTGATCGCCTCGAGTCCCTCGAAAGCGCCTTGTCTGCGGTGTATTCAGTTAGAAGTAGATAGTTGACCTAAAGCTAAAAATAATCCAAATGCTAACATGATGGTACTTAATTGCTAACACGGTGAAGAATTCAATGTGCATATTTGCTCGCGGAAACAAAGGCATTTTTTTTTTTTCACGAAAACGCACGTCGAGAATTCTGTATTTTGTGAATGGTATTCGTTATGTTATAATTGAAATATGTCAAGCGATTTTATGTCCGTCCTTTTTTTCATTGTAAATAAAAATTACCAGCATGTTTTCAATCAATGACATGTAAAAAAAAATGTAGTCTAACGAAAATATTTTCCCAATTGTGCGAAATAAATGTAATTAATGCAAGGCACCCGAATTATTCTTCACGAATTGCGAAGTATTATAAAATTGATTATAAAATCGAAGCTGCTTTTCCTTTATTTTTATTTACTAACATAATCGTCGAGGAAACAATTAACTATTTATTATATCATATCAATTCAACGAGATGTGAAGTATTTATGTAACTATAAAATACAAGAGGAAATTAAAAATCTGGATATCTGCGACGTTTCTCCGCGGGGCTCCTTCTATCTGCTGCTGTTGGGTCTAAGCTGGCTGGTGAATGGGAACGATTAACAATCTTAAAACTTACCTGTCTAAGTGACCGAATATCGATATCCTATTCGACTTAACATCGATCGTAATCAGATTACCGTAGAAAATATGGGTCAGCATGGCATGCCAAAGAATTTCACTAACACTACTTGCCGTAGTTACGCAATTACGATTGCTACCTTCCAGCTCGCGTGTCCGCTATCTATACGATTAACCGCAAAATCAGTCGATTATCGGGATTATTGCATCAATTACAATTAATTACGATCGAATCGCGCAACAAGAAACTTATTTTTAACATATGTATTTTCTGAATTTTATCACTCTCAAGCTGATCGTAAACTTTCAAGATGTATAAAATCCTTTCAAATAATCACATATAAATATATAAATTTAACTTTAATTGTTAATAATTAAAATAGATGAACGTCTTTGCTGCTTACACGGTGCAATGATCATTGATGTCGTTGTCGCGCTTGACGAGTTTGCTTAGAGTTATCTAATGGGTATAGAAACGGGAATTTGCTTAGAGTTTGCTTAGAGTTATCTAATGGGTATAAAAATCGGAATAAATGGGACTACTTCTCTTTCTCATACACACATATACACGACACTCGTAAGTAACGGACATACTCGTGTCTTTGTGTTTTGTAACGAACAAATCAGAGCTGGGAGATGTCCGGAGGAAGCGCTCGCGCAGACCCACGCATGCAGGAAGGAGCCCCCGGCACGCCGGCGACGATCGGTCATCGACGGCGACAGCGACGTCCGCCGTCCAGGACGTCACGATACCCGGAACCGGCCGCACGAGTGTTAATCAGATCCCGCAGTCGCAAATCCTTAACAGTCGTAAAGCGAACCCGGGGAGCACGCTCTCCTCTCTGGGTGGTATACCACCGGACGCCGGTTACGACGAGGTCAGCTTTCCGCCGATGATGAGAAACGATTATGCGTACGCATCGTCCTCAGCAGACAAACAATCGTTATCTAGAAGATCAGATCCCGAAACCGCCTTTGAGGACTCTGAGAGGCACAAGACTCCGAAGAAACCGCTGGGTATTTTGAAATCGTCGACCGCTTACGGTTTCGATCAGCAAAAATATGACGGACAACAAACAAGCATGATCGAGAGCAACAGATCCGACAATTTGTGTGGTTATCGAACTAACGAATCCTGGCACGTTCAAAAGAACGTACAATGGGATTCCAAGGACGATAATGATGAATGGGATCCTGGCATCGACGAGAGCAAAGTTATAAAAGAGTTTTCTTATCAGTATATTAACCCTAAGAAAGTGCCGGTGCCATCGAAAACGGAAGATGAGAGCGAGAAATTTGAGACTATGAATCTGGTCCAATGTAGAATTAGATCTTTCGAGATGAATATGGATGGCGCCAGTCCGGTCAAGGAAGTATTGACTATGCAGGAGCCGTTGAAAGTATCGCCACTGCAGGCAACTGAAGCTCACGTTTCAAAGCTTGACTGCGCGAACAAAACCTCGTCTGTCATACGCAGTTTCGCTTTAGGTGATACAAATGCTTCGGAGAATGCTTCCAAGCACAAAAGCGTAGAAGAGGGACACGCTAAGCAAGCTTCAACTGACAGTAACAAATCAGTCAAAGATCTTTTAGCGGACTTCGAACGAAAATCACAACAGGCTAATCGGCCGAAATCCGAGAAGCGGCAAGAATCGAGGCATCGCGGAGATTACAGTGATAATGAAACATTACGATATGATATTGGAAGTAATTTGGACCGGCGAGATAGAGACGATGAAAAAGAAAAATTTATTGAGAAGAACGAAGATATTACGCAACATTTCACTTTGGACACTCTGTATACAGATACCATACAGATGCAGAATTCCGATGAATCTTTGAAGCAAAATAAAATGAACAGTTCAAAGGACAGCCTGACAGAACAATGCGTGCCATCAACTGATTTAAATGTTATTCCGAGTCCTAGCTGTACAAGAACGAGTATGACTGAATCTTTGTTAACACACAGCGACCAATTCTCCACTGACAACGATATCATTTCAAAGCAGGATGATATTAATAGTGAAGATCATTATCTTCCCATGTCTCCTAGAAAGGCCATATTGGATCCTAACAGTGATGATAGACCGCATCCTAAGATGATGGAGAGTCTATTCGCCGATGAGGAAAGCTCGTATGTGGAGATGGCGCAGAATGGAATGACTCGCTCTCTTTTGGCACCGAACGAAGATGGCAGAAAGCATGATTCAGGCGATTATTCCACATTGGACCCGTCGTCTCACTATGAATTTGTTTGCGTGCGGGATAACAAGATGGAGCCGGTATATATGGAAGTGAATCAGTTGTCCGAAAAGGAGGACGAAGATGGCAGTAAAGCATCCTCGATGAAAAAGAGCAATGCCAGTGAAAATTCGCCGCATTCCAGAGGCGATCTGCCCGACATCTTGACGGCACTCAAATCCGACAGTTCTGACGCCGATGACGAATCGTCCAAGGACCTAGAATCCATAGACGCGCCACGGCATCCACGATTCAGTTTATCCGACACCTTCCGACCGGCTTCATACTATCTGGGAGCTAGCCGCAACATGATGGCAGAATTACACGACTCGTCAGACAGTGAGCTGGTATCCCCGCCACCAATACCGACCTCTCCACCACCGTTAGATGATTTAGAATCATTGGATATGCAGGAATCGTTAGAAATAAAGAAGGTCTCGCCACAGGTGGCTACGATGAAAGATAATGCGTTGAACCGCGATTCTCCAAAATCTTGGAGTAAACCAGTAGGACAGATGGAGACGCATAGGCCACCGTCAAGGTTCTCTGATGCGACCATCAGCTCTACTTTTAGAGATAGCAGGATATCGTTAGAAAGTGCGTCCGGAAGCGATTCGATCGAGCTCAGAAATCCAGAAGAGGAAGCAAGGCACAGGCAATTGAAGAGAAGACCAGTCAGCGATGACGTTTGTGAAGTTCTAGATAGTCTGGACGAATTAGAATCGTTGGGAAGTCGCTTCGACGGCGCGAGCATTGACCTCGATCAATACTTGGAAGAATTACAAGCTAGAGATGCATTCAACGTGGATCTTTACGCGAAAGATCCGAGCTACAACAGCATCTACGGATTCAACGAGAATATGCTGGTAGTCGATAAACTGCAGAAGACCACGTGTCAGGATTTATCAAGGAAGATGAAATTAATGTCCAGTAATCTCGATCGGCCGTTCGATTATTCCGGCAAAAACAAGACTGGCTCGGCAAGCAGCTTGCCATCCATGAGAGTATCCGATTTACCGCCAACTCACCAACACTCGCAGTCCTTCACCGGTGACGCACATTACGAAAACGTCGCGAGCTTCTCACCGCTTCGCGGTTCGCCGGCGGTTCGATCCGACAGCGAGCCACCGCGCGATCACAGGATACAGAGCATTAGCGCACTGCCAATCTCTCACAGCAGGGATTCCAGTTACTCGAATGCATCAGCCGCGGCGTCCATCTCGACATCTATGGCTTGTCAGAGACCCGCGAGCGCGCAATCCTCGATGCACTCCCCTATCAGCGCATCCTTGTCCTCAGTGAATCATGGCAGCACGCTGACGAGTATGCTGCAAAACGTGAACGCGTATTCCGAGCAAAGATTCCCGATTCACTCAAGATCCGCCAGTCACGATACATGTGTGCGACATGTGCTGCCGAACCATCGATCGACTTCCAGCCAGGATTCGAGTCATTATCCCAATCCAATGTCGATGCAAACTATAAACTCTGTTCTGCAACAATCATATTTACCAAACGCTAGCGAGCAGCGTGTTCAAAGCGATCAATCGGGAGCACCCTATTACTATTCTGATCTCCAGGCAAGTGTCAACAGCGTGGACATGGAGCTGACCAAACCGATGATCGGCCATACCTCGCGATTGCCTCAACTGAACAATCAGAGGGATGACGCGGCGATCGGTTTGAACAAGCGGAATGATATCGGTCGTATAGTAAATCCGATCGCGCGGCAAATGCCGCGACAGATTCAAGTAGACGACATAGATGAGGCTAGACGTATCGCTGCGGAATTGAGGCGGACGACCTGTCAACTGCTAGGCGACAATAAGGCCGCTCTCGTAGATAAGAGAAATTTCTACGAAGCTGACACGCTACGCCGGGTAAAGTCCACTGATCCACTGCCAGATGTATCTCTGCCCGAGACTAGAAACTTATATCCCCACGGTCTTAGAGATAAGTCCGTTAATCCAGGGAACGTCGATAACACGGAACCGACGCACGTCACACAGGCGTCTCATCGTCGGTCAAGATCTCTGGAGGGATTACTCGACGACGTCGGCCTGCAAAATTTAGTGGAGCAGCGAAACCGAGCTAACCGAGTGGCGGCAGCGACAACGACAGCGATAGCGGTTACTTCAATGACTCCGACCAGTCAAGTCGAGGCAACGTCGCAAAATTTGCCATTGTCTGACAATCATAACGCCATGACTGATAGCAGTTTCAATTCCGAGGATCCCTGGGAGCAAGATAGCCTTTGGTGCGAGAGTCTGAGAAGGGTGAGCCTGCGAAACGCCAGATCATTGGATAATCTAGACAGTCCGCCGAGACCTGGAAGATCCGGTGATGCGAAGTCACGTGGCAAAATCACTCGTGGAGCAACCTACGTGAACGACAGTGTTGTTTTACGCAGGGACAATTGCACGGAGGAATCTTCGTGCGGTGAGCGACCGCGAGTCAAACGCAGAACAAACAAGGATCATCATACGCGAGAACAATCGATCGAGGACGATGACGACGTCACTTACGAAACTTTGTCGATGGAAATGATCGGTACCGGCGGTTACGTGTGGGATCCACAAAGCAATACATACCACAAGCCTACCGTTTCGGATAGGAATCATTTTTTAGAGGACGGCAACCTTCCCCCGGCTCGCTCGATCCCGGACGCCCGTATGTCCGCGACGTCGTTCGAGCTCGACCGAGAGAAGCTCCGCCAATGGGATTTGTTGTCGAGCGCCTGCTTACTCCAGGAACAGCAGCGCACCTCGATGGCGGACTCGGGGCGAGGGTTGCCGGTCGTGGAACAACCTGGAGACGCTCACGATTCACAGCTCGCCGTCGTCTTACGACGACGACGACGACGACGACGACGACGACGATAATGACAATGGATACTGCGATCGACAACGAGCAAGTAGACGTTATCGTAAAACCAGTCGATATCGCGGATGTACGCGACGCCTTGCCGATGAAGATGCCGATCAAGAGGCAGGAACCAAGGCAGGAGCCGTGTAAACGGGCTGCAGGTGAGTGGCTCCTCAACAACGCTGGGGTGTACAGGCAGTGACTATGCGGGGCCGTGTTCCAAATCGCCAGACTGCCGCCACACGACCGACTCGTCTCACGTGACTACGAATCTAGTGTGCGATAGGTGTTTAATCCTAAATAGTAGCAGCTGTTAATGTAAGAGATGTTTCCACAAATATTCTGTGCCATAAACTTTGCAACAAGTTTTAATGAAAATTTGAAGAAAATTCATCATTTATCTCGAAATCTTAATTTTCATGATCAAATATTTCGATGAATCATTCACCTCACATCGAAGCAGACGAGTGTCTTCTTTTACTTTGCCATCTATTATTAGTGGCTGAAAAGACGCTCGATAGTTTCGAGACGTTTTCTGCTATTCAAAAATATAGATTTATTTTTACTGCTCGAGCAGCAGCAAATATACCTACCCTTCAAAACTTTTTTATCCAAAACCTACACTTCAAAACTTTTTTATCCATTAATGTTTTTAAAAATATGAAACTGTAATCAGTAAAAATATTTATGATTTTAGCTAACTACTAGTAAGCATCAGTTTAAGCTCGCTCTTTAGGATTAAACTCGACGTTTTCGCTACCAAATGTACCTGCGCTTGCGGTGGCTTGCACAACGATGCAGCTACTTCTTTGTCCTTGTTAATTATGGACCAGGCCGTGATCCAGTTCACATTTATTCATCACGATTCTCTCCTTTTTTTTACCGGATGAGTTTGTTGAATTCTAGGATCAGTTTGAATAATGCATTCAGACGTAACTTTGAGCGACGCGGATGAAGTTATACGATCGATGCGACTTGGAACACGGCCTGGTGCGCGACTGTGTGAGTGCGTTTACGAGATGATTAAAAACGCGGCTTGATTCATTTAATTATTTACTGTGAGATTATTCATCACACTGATTGCACGTAAAATCAGATTTTCGCGAAATAATAAACAATTAATTTATATGGCAGTAGCAACAAAATAAACAAATAGCATTGAAGTTGTATTTAGAAAGTTACAATAAAGCTGCGATCGTGTATGTATATGTGTATGTGTGTGTGTGTGTGTGTGTGTGTGTGTGTGTGTACAAATGCATGTGATGATACTATAAAAATATATGTGTACCATTTAAGATTTATTATATTACCGCCGAAAAATTGGTATAATCCAAGACGATTATGTTCTCTATTTAATTCTCTTTTTTGTTCATTTAAAGTTTAATTTAAGTTGTGCCAGTTAATTGACTCAAACTATAAGTAAATAATGACATTATCGATACGATAAGAATGTTTTTTTTTTTGGAGGATAAACTTTTTAATTCTCTGATTATATCAAATCGAAGTAATTTAAATAAAATTTACACTATTTATGCAGGATCTCTCGTTCTCAATATTTGCGTGACAATATTTTTTATAATCCACGTTGAAATCGACGTTGAATTGCGAATTGTTTCGTGAGCCATGTTTTTACGGTGATATCGACAGAACTATCGGTATACAGTTACAGCGATTCCATTTAATTCACCCGCCTAGGCAATTTGCCAAAATGTATCGTTGCGATGTTTCATCGTCGTGAAGCAGAATTCGAAGTAGCTCTCTCGAAAATATCTCTCTCGATCAAGTCAAAGATTAATGAAACTAGCTTTAGGGAATACAATGTATGCCGTCAGCAAGATTATTAATTATCTCGAAAGTTTATTCAATTAACTAAGAGGTTCGATCGAATTACTTTAAATTAAGTATGTATATAGCTCGTTATACATAAATTGTACAAAAGGGTAATTGAAAATAAACGAAACAAGAAACGAATCGAGTAGAATATCTCCCAGGTAAGTTATCACATTTTCAGAACGTCCTGAAAACTCAAATTCGTTTCTAATGACCGGATATATTGAGGAAGGACCAAATTGATGATAGTTAAGACAGCTCTGATAAATGGGTAGCATTAGTATCACAGATAAGATTCAGCCGCTCTAGAATAGATATTCCTTCATCACGACTAAAAGTGTTCCTCGATGAGCAATTTGATTTCTAAATGTGCAATATTATTCAGCGAATAAAATATGTAATAACATTAAGTATGGAACAGTTGTTAATTATGATAAACGTTTTATAATCGCATATGCGATTTTTTTCTACTTATACAGTTTATCATGAAAGAAAGAAACCACACAGTATGCAAAATTTATGTAATTACATTATAATTTATTATTGCCCCGTTATTTCCAGTGTAAAAATTCGAGCGTAAAGAGGTCGCGATTTTATTATCCCCGATTAAATATTCGCGTTCTCCCAACGTATCTGACAATTAATCGAGGACAATTAGTCGTCCTAATTAATTTTCTTTGGAGCGTTGCTGTCAATTAATTCTTCCTCAGAGAGGCGACATTATATCCTTATAGACATTAAAGCCGTTTGAATGACAGTCAGGTGCTCTCTCGGGATCGTCCTTAGGTTTTCGAGCAGTCATGCTATTTGCGCATCACGCGCTTTAATAGCTGTAGCTGCAACTCGGAAACTCCGTTGGCATGTGAACGACTTTGTAAGGTCTATCGATGGATAGAAAGTCTGTCGTTGCATTGTCGCAAATGTCGCAAATGTATAACACGTTGAACGCAATATCGTAAGTGCGCATTCGCGTACTATAAGTATATCGTCGACACCGTCCGTGACTTCGTCGCACTTTGTCTCGGGGTCAATAACACGACGCGGTGTACTTGAAGTGGATGGATTCTATGGAACTGCGAGTGATATCTACAGCCCGACTGCTCGTACCTTCGATTCCTCGCGGGATCGTTAAATATCGATGAGAAAGAACGCGTGCCTGTAGAACCGAGTTTCTCTCCCTCTCAGTCCCTCTACTGTATCGATCGATTATACCTTGACGTCGCGTGAGAAATTTTTCGGTCTTTCCTTCCTGATACGTTTTCCCTTTGTGGAACTCGAATGCTGCGATACTCCATAATTAATGTCTCACCGGACTCACGTTGGGTGTTCCAGATTTCGTGGAATTAATAAGAAATCAGACAAGAGTTTTCGACATTGCGGCGAAAGAATTGGTTCCTGACGAAAACGGGATAATATCGGATCTGTATCGAAGCCCGATGGATTGCTACATGTACATTTGATATTCGTTGAACCAAACGAAAAATCTGAGGGAGAAACTCCATCTAGTCGGATATTGCAACGTGTATTTTTAACCTTAGATCGTTTGAAATTTCCTGATGCCAGCCACAGCATTTCAATATTTGATTTAAACACATGCTATATATTCCATCGAAGATTGAAATCAATTGGCATAATCTCGGTAAAAGAAATATTCATTTTTTTTCAATATTTTTATAACAGGTACAAAATATACTTTATAGAAAATAATTTTTATATTCTGAAGTGGTGCCAATTTCACTTTTTGTACGTCATAAAATATGCGCGTTAGTCGCCTTTGTGATATTGAAAACACGGAATAACATGTTTCTCTGTCTCAATTTTATTCTCGTATGGAAATTCGTTCCCGTTAATTTTAACACGGTAATTAGGAAATTTTGCATTTTTGACAACAAAGAACAAACACCAAATTTGATTTCCTATATTTTTAAAATACTGTTCAATATTTAGAGTAAAAAATCAATTTTCTATATTGATTTTATAAAATACTTTGTTCTTGTCAATCTTCATTTGCAAGTTAAGTTCAATATGCATTTTCAGTGACTAAAATTGATTTTTTATATTCTGGAAGCAATAGAATTTCCCAAATATTTTAAAATTAGATTCTTTTTTTTATTTTCATGACATTTTATTCTTATATATGTCTATTCTTTTTTATTGATTCGTATCTTCGAAACTATAGTAAGATAATTCATGTCTGTTTTATACATATATAAAATTTCTCTCGATAGCCTTTAAAAATTTTTCGGTATGTTCTATTTAATTTTTCATTTTGTACTACATATATATGAGTAAGAGCCCTGATTTGAAACGCGTAACCAGTTTCAGTCGCGAATTTTCACTAAACGAGCACTAAAATCAAAGCACTAAATTAGTAATTGAATAGCACTTAATTCTGATGTATATCATCTCCATTTTTTATGTTGGGATTGATAGCGTAACACAGGTTAAAACTAGTGGAATATTTTTACAATTTGAGTGCCGAAGCTTCACCGCGATACGCCTGTGATTGGCACTTCAGTAATGCGGTTCTACTCATCGACTGGCTGCCACTGACCTCGGCGAAAAATCAAACTTTCATCGTCCGCGAAAGCCACAACATGTTCAAGCACGAAAACTCATTTATCACATTCCGACCTACGAAAAATGAATGTTATTTCCCGAAACGGCAATTGATCTACAAAACTGCTAATTCTTTCGAATTCATAGCTTGTCTGTAACACTTGTTACATGTAAAAATATAATCATCGAATTTTCGAGAAGAAAAATTCCATTTTAATTTAAACAAAAATAATTTTCTATAATTTTCCAGATTGTTAATGAGAATCGTACTAATTATTGTGCTTAGAAATAAATATTCTAATTTGAAATAAATATTTTATTAGATAATATTTATATGATTTGAATATAAATTGAAGAGACTAAAGATGAAGTATGTTAATGAATAGCACGAGAGAAGGACGCTAATAATAATTTTGTATTCGATAGCACGATAGAAAGATCATCAAGTGTGAAAGAGAAGATAACGATCTCGATTAAATAATCGCACACCAAGCCTCGCGAAATGAAGTATCGGATTCCAACAGAATGCCACACAGTGCTTAAAGCATTTTATTTTTATACAGCTTCAATGTGCCAAGAACACTATGAGACGCAAAATAACGCCACGATAATCCTGTTATCGGGAACGTTTAATTCCGGCAGCGAACTCACGAAGTTCGAAATCAAAATAGCGAGATTTCGCTAACGAAGGGAAACTATGAATGCATAACTTCGTTAAGATATCCACAGCTTCGGTATCAATATTTCTCCAAAATTTCCTTGAAAACAGTATTACATTACAGTATTCGCATCGTTTCTAGTAACTACAGAGAGAAAGTTTCTAAAGCACTGAATTAATGAAAATTGATATACAATAATTAGCATATCACAAAAGTATAAGGACTATTCCGAAATTATTATTTCTAAACATTATTGCTGATTTAATGCTTCTGTATATTTCAACACTTTTTTAATTAATCGATTTTCAGCTGTCAATATTTAACTATTAATATTAAAAACAAAACATCAACAGAGTGAAGATATCGATCACACGACAGAAAAACTGTAAGACAACTATTCTATTCTCTTTTTCTCAAAAGTGAGAGTAGATAATTTAACTGTAAGTACTTTCCATGTAAGTCTGGTTTTTCATTTTCTGATTAACTTGTGGTTAGACTTAATCTGATGATAATGCAAATCATATTTTTTATACATGATTAATAATTGAACTGATAGTTTTGTGGTAAGTAAAGTTTTTAAAGTTTCACCACTACAAAATCATCAGTTTAATGATTATTTATAACTAGAAAAGAACACAATTTTTATATTATCATCGAGTTAAGTGAGATTGAGTCTAAACCACAAGTTAACCAGCAAATGAAAAATTGAGCATTAATAGTAAAGTTGACACAAATATTATTCTATCTTTCTTATGCATAGAAAATGACGTTATATCAACATCAATATTTTTATTGAAAATAATTTTATTAATTCAATAACAATATTAATGAAACACATAAAATTTTATAAACATTTGAAACAGGAGCGTGACGTATTTGTTAGTATTTCATTAATTAGTATTATTAAATTAACACAATTATTTTCAATTAAAATAATGCTTGGTATAACATCATTTTTCAATATAGCATTCAATGAGTAACAAAGAGAGAATGACATTTATGTCGACTTGTGTCACCAAATGGAAGTTCTATGTAACACTATGTAGAATCAGTTAAAACCAGCAAGAGGGTATCGGTATCAGTAGTACACTGCAGTAACAAGCACTGCATGCGTATTTCCGCATCGGAAAGCATCCCCACGCACGTTCGCGTCATAGGAGCAACAGTTCCCGGGTGCGAGATCCTTCAGATCAGACGGGGTCGGACAGACAACCGACTGCCTGGTTGGATGATAGTAGCCTCGAGCCTCGAGCCTCGAGTCAGTCAGTCAGTCAGTCGGTGGCGCTCCGCGCGGTTCCACGCGACTCTCGCGTGCTGCGTGGACGCGTGCCAGTCCGCATCGATCGGCGAGTGGATTGTGATCGTACTCACGTGGATCAACGTCGAGAGAGACGTTGCATTTCGCGATAAAGTGCGGTACACATTTGCATGACTGTGTGATAGTTTAATCGAGATTGCTGTGCGGATCGTTTGTAGATTTTGCAGCGATTCTTTCTCTTTCGCTATTTGCACGATCAATTTTCGGAATTTTCGCGAAGGGCAGACAGAGCGAGTGACATACACACACACATACACCTGACACCAGGCGAAATCCAAATCGTGTAACGGACGTCGCGTCTGAATCGCGATCGACAGAAATTCGGGGTTGCGAAATTTCGCGGATAAATCGAATGGATACGTTCAACGTGTGATACGCGAGTTTGTGGTGTACGCGCTACACGCGAATAAAGATCGTCTTGAAAGTTCACTCGAGGTCGTGACATTTCGAGGAAGATGCGCGATGCTCGTTAAGTATGACGGTGAGCGCGAGCTACGTGATGTAAGAAGCGCCCGGATGATTTTTACGCGTCTCGGAGGAAGAATAAGAATGGTGGGCATCGCGTAATTTCTTAGGCGCGAAGCGGTTTTCGCTGTGTGTCTTAAAATATATAGTGGCGCCGCGGACGTAGATGTAATATGTATCGTCGGTATTAAATTGCTGAAATCTGAAACTAGAGTGAGAATAAAGTTTTCACGTATGATGACGTTTCTCGGAATCGAAGAACATCCCGCGGTAATGTAGTCTGAAGATTGAAGCAAACATCGGTAAAATTTAAAAATACACCTTTTAGTTTTAACGCTAAATCATCGGAAGGTGTAAATTGGATTTCATTTTTTATTTTTTTGTTATGTGTATTTATTATGGATATATTTACTGTATATTGTAATCACAAATATACTTCTATCAGGATTTTATATTTAAAAAAATGTAAATTCAAGCAACACGTTGCTATGTAAATATTTTTGTCACAACTTCGAAATATTATTGTACGGAACAAATCGGTATGGACTTCGAAATTTTACAGCTTATAAACAAAACTGCAAATATAGAAATTTCAAAAAATCCGAGCTGCAGACCGATGTGCTTCTATTTCTGCTGAAATCGTATCCGTTGTTAATTCAATAAACGAATAAACCGATAAACTCATGACAGCTCGTATTGATCGATACAGAAACTTCATCGTCCGTGCTGACGGTATGATTGTATAAACCTAGTCGATCTTATTCGATCGGCTATTGAAATAACTGATGCACTACGATTTTTATCAAATAATTTTTCAATTAATTCAATTATCTACAGAATATTTCTGAGAAAATCTATATTTTTAAATTTCTTTCATTCTGTTTCCGATATCTAACATAATTATTTATGTTGTTATATTTTCATAAATAAAATTGTACCTTCAAAAATATCTCTAAAACAGTTTTAAACACAAAATATTATTATCACATATCTAGAGAAAATAATTTTAATCTCTGGGGTTTTTATAAAGAATAGCTGCAATTTATCCGTCAATCAATCGGAAATTATTTGAGGAGATTTTATGTAATTTGTTTTGCAAACACGCGAAATGTATTAAAATTTTTCAAAACTGCGCAGATCAGATCGGAGTAGTTTCCACGGCTTTTCCGAGAGGATCTGGAAATCAGTTGAACAATCGTGACGAAAACAAAAAAAAATTGTTGACTAGCAATTAGACCGACTGGGTCGATCGTGACTGTCTTGTTTGCCTTCGATATTACGGGATTCGACGTAGTGAACACGTGGCGGACAAGACTCGTTGACGACGCGACTGTGCCCATGACAGGCACGTGGCGTGACAAAACGTCGATCACGCTGCTATTAAGATTCACGGCAGGGAGCAAGGACCTTTTGATAGCTGCGCATCTCGTTATCGCGAGGAAGATGGGCGGGAAAGTTGGTTTGATTTGCGGCAGCTGTTGGTCCGGCAAATACAGTACGTATATAAAATCCACAAATCGTGTGATAATTCTATCTTAATCCATTTTCCTGATAATCCAATGGAACAACCGTATAAAAACTTTGCCGATTTTTTATGAATAATTTTCAACTCGTTTGACAGTATTAACAGCAACAGTATCGACAGATCGAAATTTACTTACGGTATCTATGCATTATGTATGTCGCATTCCCTTCACTGACTAGAATGTTGTGTTGAGAATAAAGCACTGACGCCGGAGAATTAATAGCTATTACGCGTTATACCGTTCGACAACGAGAAACTTGGAAACCAATAATGTACAGGTATATTTGGAACAAGATAATTGAATTAAAATTACACTAATAGTTGCAATCATGATATCCTAAGCTACAAGTAATTGAATACATTTAATTTGATACATTTAATTTAGTTGATAATGCACGATTTCCATCGATCGGCCTCATTACACAGTCAGATCGGTAGAGCATTATTACGCGAGCTACCGAAGTTACTGCGAGAGACTAAACTCGGAGCGCAAATCTAAAACCTAGGTAGGAAAAAGCGTCATTAAAGAAAAAACGCGCGTTTTCCGGGTTTCCCGGTCTTTTCATTCAGGCCATTCCAGAACTCCTGGCACGTGAGGTCTCGTTAATGTGGGGCATTCTTCGAATTTCTCGCGAAGACAGACGAAGTTCGGTATTAAAATGTTCATCGTGGTTGGCGAGGTAATTTGCGAACTTCGATTAAACCGGACAAACGGCGCGCTGGCGGTAAAAGGCGAATCGTTAATTCGCGGCGAAGTTGAAAGCTCTGTATAAATTGCAGCCTCTAAGAATAATTCACGAGCGTCGCGCGAATCAGGATCGATTCACGGCCATACAACTCGTCTCCTTTAGCTAGAGTTGCTATCAAAATTTTCTAAACTACGTGCTGAGAAAGGTGTGTGACAGAAAATGGACGAACCACAAAATTCTGATAATCTCAACAATCAACTAGAATTTAGTAGATTTAATCAAAAATTTTAATTTGTCCGTTTCTACCAGAATTACGAGTAATTCAACCAGATAATTTTCTCAGTTCTAGAATTTACAGGCTAAAAACTCTGGATGCATATAAAAATGCGTGTAGGTTAGTAAAATTGATTAAAACAATCAACGAATAATAATAATAATAATAATGATGATAATAATAATTGTTTCCATCTAATTGTTTATTAGCGATATTAATTTAATATAAGAAATTAATCAATCATAGATGATTATTCTTCAGATTCTCCTCACATTCAACTATGATTGGTCAGCTTATTACAGCTTGAGGAAATTACTACACTTGTTATAAATCAAAACTATAATATAGAATAACGCGGGAAGAGTTAAAGCAGAATATTTAGAAGGAATTCCGGACGCTCACAATTATCTTTGAACTGCCCTAAAAAAAAAGAGGATGATATCCGGGGAAAAGAATTGAATGGTAACCCTATCTTTAACGAATCCCGAAGATGTCAAACGTTAAAATGTTGATCACGTTCGAGTTGGACGTTAAGTCCTTTTCTCCTTCTCCCGAAAGTTCGTAATTTTTGTACTTGGCATAACTCAGAATTCAGATCTGTAATTATCGGGAAAAGGAACCCTCGCCAAACTTGGTCGCCAAGCCACTCGATTTCTCGATACTGAGAAACGACATCGCGTTACAGTTTCTTGCAATTCTGGAACAGCGCCAAAGGTACTGTTGCGTTCTCGCGACCGTGGTATCGATCGTTGCGAGAGGACCATAACGCGAAAGGCCGCCGAGAGAAAGAGAAAAAGAGATCGGGGACCCGACGAATACATTTCGGAAAGGCCAGAGGCCCGCTCGGTCACAGGACGCTCCGTTCGTTTATTCCGTTTTATTCAGCTCCACACGCGCGTGGATGCAGGGATGCATTCCTCTCTCGACCGAGTACCGTTACTGAGTGCCGGCACTTTCGATCATTGAATCCCCGCTATCGTCCAACGCGAACGTAGCTGCCGAAACTCCACGCTGACTTTCCCGACTGACGCACCCGTTAGAACACCCGTGATATTGCCATTCAACTCAATTGTCAAATATTTAGGTAAAGGCTAAATGCAGGGATTAAATATGGATCGAATTATGTGGTATTATGTGATTCTAGGCCTATCATTTTCGTCTTTCTTTACACTGTTGAATTTATAATGTCAAATTATACCCAACTTGAGTAATTTTTAATCATACCTATAGGTCGCCACTGTTTCTACCCAATCGGTAATTTGACTAAAACAATAGGGTTGATTTAACCCAAGAAAATTAAATTTGACTCAAATTTATAGTTTAGGTATTACTTACTAAGTGCACACGTTAATATGAGTGATGTCTACTTTGAAACTAACCACAGAAATGGGTAAATGAAAGTTAAAATATCAAAATGTTATTTAAATCAAGGGATTGGAGATCATTATTACTCCTTTGATATCTAATAATAATAATAATATATGTTTTGATTTATTACAAAAACAATTTATATTTATGGCGTGTTCATAATTCATAATATTTCCTAATACTCCTTATTTGGATACTTAACAAGAAGACAGTCTTAACAAAAAGACTTTTCTGGATCTTACAACTTTTCACGATTTAAATAATTTAAATAGCCTTCACAATGGTTGTAGCTCTACATAAAACTTTTTTTTCTATTGATCGCTAAAATACTTCAATGAAAAAAACCTCGCGAATTTCATTCCATTTTTTTTTAATTCTTTTTCTGCACAATCATAAATTCATCATATAAATCAATGACATTTCGAGTAACATATGTTCTTTCTCAATTGCATTTATCCGAGAACGAAAGTAACGGCGGTTATTTTCGGACGATAATGAGTCGATCGTGACCAATTCGGTAGCCTACATCACTGCCTCTCAATAAAGCAGCAATCAAACAGTCCGACAGTCAGCTCTATCAAATTATATTTCAAAGGCGTTTAGTTAACAAAGATAATGACTACCGTTATTCGGATGCCATTAGCTCATCATCAATTTTGTATTTATGATAAAATACTTCGACGTCACGATCTTTCTAGCTAGTCGAGCTATTCTTTGACGTGGAAATAAATGTTTTGCCGATAGCTCCAGCAAATATTGTGCCATCGTGTCCACAATAAAAGACAACAACGAAACAACGTAGTGTTTATCGCGTCCCACTTCTACGGTTTTTACCTTAGACGGATACTGGCAACGTCAAAGAAAGGTATGTCATTGATGAATAGGTGGTCACGCGACTGAATCTTTTTGCTAACGAAACCAGGGACGAGCAGAGACGCGTCAATTGGACTGAACCTCGGCATGTGAACCGTTAAAAGCAGTAGAATTTGTGCGCGCGTTGCAGAACGATTTTCCTTCGTAAAATACAGTTATTCTAGTCGCGGTACTCGCGTCGCGGATTCGGTTCTTACGTAATGTGTGTCGGCAGCAAGGTGTTGGCGGTTAAGCAAGGTGCTGCAGTTCTTTTCTTTCTATCAACTTACTGAAGTGTCTGGGATAACTCTATATAGATAGAACTTTCTATCGCTTCTTACACGATGTACGATTGTACATTTCTATGCGACATATCTTGCGCATTCGACGAGCCTTTATTCCTTTCTTACGACCGAACACGGTTTATAAACAAGGAAATAGCGACACAATTCTATAGATGTAAAAGTAGGTGACAGGAAGATGTATTTGCACCTGCCATCATCAAATTGATCACGATGACCGTGGAGAGACCGGGAAATTGAAGATCGATAAGAAATTCTCTTCACGGCATCGAAACACGAAGAAAAAGAACAGTCCAGTTTGTTAGGTCAGATCTCATAGATTTCACGTTCGTCGGTGTATAGTTTTCTTTTCCTGCAAACATTGGAAAACGTTAATGTAACTGGATCGCTAACGGATGATCGATACTATGCATTCATCGCAATACTATGTTTACATTTCTGCTTGGACGCTTAATTCTCGCGTGGGAAAAACATCTTCGTGCCCTCGATAAAATAGGAGTAATTGACTTCTCCTGTAGAATTAGCGGGGAGCGAAACGCACCATTTATTCCGTTTCTTGTGTTGGACTATTATTGCTTCCGCTTGAATTGCTGTCGAGCAACCGATGTTTAATCCTACTCTTTTTATCGAAGCGTGTACCAAACTGAGCTTCATCGATCGGCAACTGATGACGCGACACACGTTATCTTCTTCCGGTCGTCTGTCAGCCACCAATGCTCTCAACGATCCTTTTACGACCGTTCATAAAATGTAAAGGATGATTTTAACTTGAGAACGCGCCAGTCGCGATATTTTTACGCTTTTAAATTAACGGTGTAACAGCAAGAAATGTCATTAGACGCCGGCAAACACGACTCTTGCTCGACAAGCTCCGCAAATATTCGGATGAAACGCGAATATTTTCTTGTGACAGTTCCAAGCGGCTTTAATTTTTATTCATTTGTCGATCCACAATCGACATCTTTGTAAAAATCGATAATATCGCTGTTGAATTTATAACGTCAAATTATACCCAATTTGAGTCATTTTTAATAATTTATAGATCGCTACTACACTTCCCGATATATCGTCAATTTGACTAAAACAATGAAGTTAAACGATTTTAAACTCAAGAAAATGTATTAAATTTGATTGAATTTAGTTTATTATTTACTAAATGCATGTTAATGTAGACGATATGTTCGAAACTAATCACAGAAATGGATTGATTTACACGTTGACATACATAGAAGTTAAAAATAATAAAATATTATTTAATTAAATAAGATTCCTATTTAATTCAAATTCCTATTTAATTCAAGATATTAGGTTACCAATCTCTTCGATATTTAACGGTATAATAATGACATAACGTTAATTTCTCCATTGTTCATTAATTCTTGATATGTCGGAGTATAAATTCCAATATTCTCTGTAGAAACTTCGATACAGTTCACATTATGAAAAGACATCGACATTTAATAATTTGTCCGATATTAACTTTCA